TTTATCACAGATAGAAGTAAGAAGAAGTATATACAAGTTATAATTGCCTACGATATAAGTTCAAAGTTAGCTGCCTGTGTAGCCAGAGAATAATTAACAAAGTCCAAAAATGTATAAAAACGCTTTTAAATATCTCAAATCTCTTACGTGGTATACACAATAACCTAAAATATATAGGTATATTTACAGACTATTTTGTACGTTATACATAATAATAATTCAAGTTATGTACTTCTCCGAAAACTGAATTCCAGCTCAAGCAGTAAACATGTAGTCATTCCTTGTGAATATGTTGAATATACCAGAGACTAAATAAACAAACGCATATTGTATTTATAATTGCTGATTATCTGGATCTTCTAATACTGTGTTACTCTTTATTTGCCGAAACTAAGTAGGTAACAAAGCTTAAAACATTGAGTTGAGTACAAAGTAATTATTGAGCAGAATCAAATTATACTTTGTTTATTTTTTATTTACTGAATAATAACATAATTTATTCCGTTATTTCATACAGTTTGTATATTCAAATAGTTTTTCTAATTTAGCTTTTACTGAAGTACCTACTGAGGTATGTCCTATTTTGCTAGATAACTAAAGACAGCCTCGGTGAATGAATATTGGAATTATATACCAGATTACATGTGTGTACGTGTCTATTAGGCATATTGCCTGAATAAAAAGTTTAATCCATCACATATAATTAGTACTGATCTACTGTGCCTCAACAATAGTAATTACATATACAACATCGATGTGAATGTAGGTAATCATAGAAAGAATAAATATTTACTGCAACCGTTTATCCATAGGTCCGATTGTAATACATAATTAGCATTCGGATATAATTTAATTTGTAATTGTTTGTTACTATATTTACGTTTCTGCGTATTGTTACCTATATATTATGTATATTAAAATGTAACTCTGATGTTATGTACTCTGATGTATTTATATAAAATTAATATACTGTTCTAGTGGGGCCTTGTAACAGTAATGACATACACTATACAACTCGAATGTGATGTGATGAATTGAAAACATTGAAAGAATGTATTGTATTTACTGCTACTAGTATCCACTGAACATCTGAATCTGTATCATGTTAATATTGGTATTGAAAAATTAAACAGACGAGGTTAAGAAAATTGTGTGTGGACAGACGTTATGGTAATAAGTGAATTATCCGTTTTCGATTGCTATGATGGGCTCGTTGTCTAATTTTTGTGTGTCTGTCTGTATGTTTGATATCGGTCACGTAGCGACGATGGATGCACGGACGGACAGATTTATGTAGGTATGTATCCCAATCGCTAGTGAACCAAACCCTAACTCTTCATAAATAAGCACTCTCCACAGTTAATAAAGCCACTATCTGAATTAAGTTTTCGTTTCAAAGCGGATATTTCTCCGTACTTGTACAAAACGAACTTGTAAAATTTTATTGGAACTAATTGTTATAAAAATGAAAAAATACAATCATGCGTTTTGTTATTTATCTCTTTATTATTAGAACCCACTAACATAGAATGTCAAAATTACATTTATATTGAAATAGTCAAAAATCTACACACATGTAGTGTATGAATAGATTTTTGACATGCATAATGATGACCAACAGACATGATTGTTGATAAACAGCATTACCGTAAAAAATATTTGTAAAATCATGGTTAAGAATTTGACTATAAAAGAAATAGTATTACTAAGTATTATGTATGCGATGGAGCTACCATACTGTATGAATGGTAGCTCCATTGTATACACCTTACAACAAATTACAAAATAATTTTGGCGAAATAAATTTAGTTGCAGTATTTCACTAGCGATTACTATACAGATGCAGGATTACAGTCAACATTTATCAACAATCTTAATTAAGGAGGCTTAATAAATATTGATGCTTATGGCTTAGTACATGTGCAGTATACTTTTCAATATAGGTAAGTATGTATATCGAGTCTGAGATATGTTGTAACAAAATACAATCAATAAATTGGATAATTTCTACAAAGTCACTATTATTACTTTTGCTTGGCCTCTGTAGGCATTTGCCCTCCCCCTAATAAATTAAACAAGCTATCAAAGTAATCTAGAAGGGGTGAAATACAGCATGAACTTGTAATGGAAAATATAGAACATTTTATATTAATTGAGCTATCTAGGACAACAACTAGTAATTGGGAACTCGACCAAAGTATGAGCATATCTTTTATATTGTCTAAAATTTCGATTGCACAATATTAAAATAAAAGATTAGGTATGTTCTCATGGGACTAGTGGCCCTATTGCTGGCACAGCACCTGTTGGGCCTCCATTTAGGTACTACTTTATATGTATGTCGACTGGAATATACATACATATATATAAGAAAACAATATATAGATGTTCCACAGGAAACCGTCGTGGTACTAGGTATCTGTTAAATTTGCCATAGTGGCCTAAGTGACCTGACTTCATACGCATCCCATCATCATCCATTAGTGCACCACCAAAGAATACCGTCAGCGAAGGCGGGTGCACCCTCCATTATCATCTATTAAAAAGAAATATGGACTAAAATACTCATTGTTTTTAATATATCTACTATGTCATAGATCGACCTCCACGCGGTCTATTCCTGTATTAACTTTTGGGCTAATTGTCCTAACGTCATGCTCTTCACTCATCCGCCACTAGAGACCACCAGCGTATACCGTTAGCACATATGGCACCATACCTTTATGATACACAAAAAATCGTGTTAATATAAATATAAAAACAAATGAAACATTATATTATTTCGCTAAACATTTATTTTTATATAAAATACGTTAACATGAATCGTGTCGAATTCATTAAATATTAAAATAATCAAAGGTGATATAATACAAATTGATATTAATGTGTAACATGAAATAAATAAATTAGTAAAATAATAGGTTGTTCTAGCCATAATAATAATAATAAACAGTGTCATACACTACCAAACTAATAGACTAAGTTATACAATTAATTATACATAGGTACATGCATTTAAAACAAAAATTAATGGATCAATACATACTCGTTTGAATATTGCACGGGAAAATTGATGAGTACACATATACCAGCAAATCAATTTAACCGTTCTACTGCGTACCGGAAGGAAAGAAATATATGTATGCGTGCGTATAGGAAAGAAATATATGTAAGTAACATTTTTGTCTTATTTGGATAGTTTTACATACACATAACTGAAATTGAAAATCTGAATAACGAAAATCCCTCTACATTTGATAAAAACATTAAAATAATTCTGAACACTAAAAGAAAAGGTTTTTTTAATCTAAACGAAAATAGCCAGCAGTAAAACGGTTAAAGACGTTTTTGCATGTGTAGTAGTATAATATAGACAGCCACTAAAAACCAGATTAAACCAGTTACGTTAGCTAACTATATATTCTTATCTACTCTCGCGTCAATAGCCTGAAATGGCTTTGAAATTACTACGCTATTTTGTATTTTTTATTATTCTTTAAGTAACGTCTTCGTTATTTTCAATTTTTATTTCTATTACTGATAGTTTTAATAAATCCAAGATAAAAGATATTTATTATAGACAATATTATAGACATGTATGTATGTGTGTATTTGTTTATCTACTTACCATATACCACTACATATGCAAGTAAGTCTTTAAATTGATTTACCACTAACAACTACTCAGCTAACCCCGTAAATGTCCCGTCATAAAGATATAGACGTAAATACCATAATTAATAATATGATAAATTAATGGAATGTTACATAAGTTACAGTAATGATAACTACTTTGCTATATTATCATATACATATATATAATACTAGGCATATCCTGCTGCGCTGCTCGCGTGAAGTAGCTTATGATAGATGATTTTTAAAAAAAAATTCTAGTATAGTAATTTTACCTATTACAAACACAAAAATTATGATAACTACATTATAAAAATAATAGTATCAGAAAAGCTGTGATTATACTCTTTATGAGCAAGTATCTCAGAAACAGTTTAACTGATATAAATGAGGTTTTCACTGATCTGTTGTAGCAAGCTTCCCATAACAATCTGTTTTTTTCTAGTCTGTTCAAAATTACAAAACTTACAAACTATTATTATTCCGTTATATTTATTAACAAACGGAACAAAATATCGCTTTCTTAATAATATTTAATAGGTACCATTAAAGTGCTACGATGTGAGTTAGTAGAACCTAATAATTATTATTATGAATATGATACTTATATTAATAATTCTATAGTATAATAATAATTAAAACATTGTTATAAGAATTAGATAAATATAATAGACCTATGTCGTGAATATCCATTGAAAGAATAATTGCTAGTTCACGATTATATAATGCCTAGTAGATAATTTATAAAACCTATGTCTATTGTATAATTGATTCATCACGATTTAATCATTATTAAAATGTATAAATATGCAATAAAATATATAAAATAAATTTTAGTTATTAAAATATAAAAAGAAATTACATTAAAATTATCTTTGTTACGCTTTAACGGGTTATTATTATTACCATTTTAAACAAATCTTTTTAATTGTCGGGATTGCTCATTGGAAAATTAGCGGATGAATTTTTTTTAAATAACTTTGCAAAAATCGTAATATAATTCAAGTTTTACACACACAATAATGTTTGGGTCCTTGCCAAAATGAGGTAATGGTAAACAGTTTTATGAACATTACAAAATAATATCATGGTACCACGGTGGTGGTGTATGGTACCATACTTAACAATAAGGTGATATGTCGTGTCTCCATTTTTCAAATTGGATAATACTTGAGTTTTGGAAATACTCAGTCATTATAATGTATACATATAATAAAAAATTAATCTGAAGATTAGTTGAGAAAAACTATTATTGGGTTACTTTATTAATATAATAGAATCTAAAAGTTAAATTGTAAGAATTTTTGTTTGTATGATAGTGCGTTAGTGTTATCTCAGAAACAACTGAACCAATTTAAGTTGTAATTTCAGTGTATACATATAATAAAAAATTAATCTGAAGATTAGTTGAGAAAAACTATTATTGGGTTACTTTATCAATATAATAGAATCTAAAAGTAAAATTGTAAGAATTTTTGTTTGTATGATAGTGCGTTAGTGTTATCTCAGAAACAACTGAACCAATTTATGTTGTAATTTCAGTATTGTATTAAACACTGATTTAATGTTTAGTTACAATATATTCCAATCTGTTTAAAAAAAAAATTGATGTTCGCGTGTTCTAACTAACACAATTGATAGACGCGGGTTTTGCAGGATGTCATATGTACACATGTTCATGCAGATGTGTAATACATAGACATAAGTTATGAGAGTAACGCAAGGTATAAAAATAAAATATTGCTTACAAAAAGCAATAGAAGTAATATTTGACCTCAAAATAAATAAAATATTAACATACACATATACATCTGAGAGGAGCTCATCTCGTCTATGTATGAACATCTGAATAAGTTGCAATGGAGATAATATTGCTCTCTGTTGCAACTTATTGAGATATTCTGTATTGTATAAAATCTTAAACTACTTTATATATGTTATAAAATTTATTCTGGTTTGCCTTGACTGAACTTTAGAATAGTAAATACTATATACTATACTTGGAGGCATTAGAACAGTTTCATTAATATTTAAAATTGAATTTCCTGCATTGAGACTATTTTATATCCTCTATATTCACAGAGTATTAATTATTTTGATATTCATCAATTATTAATTTTTGAATTTACATTTAACACTAATTTTATAGAATATATCCTACAAATACATATATAAGTATTAAATACATAATTAGAATATAGGCGTGAATATTATATATATTCACATTCTTGTATTTGTCTGCTGCGGGTATAAATGTATATAGAATATCTTGTCATAGTAAATAGTTACTTCTCTTCTAGCTCTTTAAACGCAGCTTTCAGTTGCTTCGTGTAAGCATCCAGTCTGTAGGCATTCACTTCAAAGCGGGATACTTGTGCATCAATCTGATCAATTTGAAGCAGCAATGGTTTTATCACTTGATTATCTAAAATGATAATATTAGATATATGATTACTTCATGTCACTTTACATAATGTTTAAATAGTTGTTGTTCTAGCCCAATTATAACCATTTTGAAAATATTTTTTTAATAAAATGCATTAATGATTATATATTTCATAATACTATTGTAGTACTTAATATATTATAGTACATACATTCATATGTACTAAGGCGGAGCCAAAATTTGAAAAAAATTGTCTGAGCAGATAGTCTCAATTATTTTACCCGCAAAGCAGCTTGGTGGCAGCAGCCAATTATAGAGGCATGGCATCTTAGGCCTCAGACTGACAACACATGAGCGTTGTCATGAGCATCACATAATCCCATGATGTCATTAGTACTGTTTATTTAACTATACATGATACAAGATGTGGTTACCCCTTACTGATATGGACTGTCAGATTGTTTACCATTCCAACTACACAAATATTTGAAATTGTTACTTTACGAAGTTGAATTTTATTATTATTTATTATTTTCGTGATAAAGGTTGGTTATTCAAATAATATATTACTTTTTAATTTAATTAATTAGTACTTACACATATCATTATATTCATTGAGAGTTTTATTCAGCGTAACTGCAAAGTTTCTAAGGTCAGCATATTTGGTAATTGTAAGCCTATTCATTTCCTCCAGCAAGTTGTAGAGACCCTGAAAATAATTCAAACAATAAAAATGCTGGCAGGCTGATGAAATTCTGAAGTATATATCACTAAAGAGGAAACATCGTAAGATACCAGGATTAAGTCGAACTTGTGAATAAATTAAAGCCAGGACAAGCTGTATACATTTAAATGTAACACACATACTCCTTCTTATATATATGTATATATATCATCTTATTTATTAATATTATAAATGCGAAAGTTTGTAAGTATGGATGATACAAAACCTACTGAAAGAATTTTGATGAAACTTTACAGTAATATAGCTTTTTCATAAAAATAACACATGGGCATTATTTTTTGTGGATATTTAAAGCAGGTGAAACCGCGGGCATAGTTTTACATTTACAGACCCATAAAGCCCATCACATGTATAATAATTATTGTTATTGTAGAATAAATATTCTGCCCCTATCCTATTATTATTACTGCTCAATTATGACAGGGATGGCCATTACGACAACCTATCCCTAAACCTTTATATGATGGCCTTAGTCATAATCATTGGGTAGTAAGTGGCCTTTAGGTTTCTATCAGCCCTAGAACTGCAGGTTTGGCGTACCTTCTGCACTAGCCCCCTGTTTTGTCCAGTGGTTTAGGCAAACTACAACCAACAGCAATAAGTAATTGGAATGATATTATACCAATTATTTATAAGGTTTTGGGAGGAACTTGGCTGGCTACTTTAGTAGCCTCGGCTCTACACATACAATGGCCCAGATGAGAAGCTGATTGCACAAAATAAAATCCAATTTACAATACATCATTATCACTGGCCACTTATGTTGTACAAAAAAATATTAAGTACCTGGCCCGAAGCCATTTCAGCTTGTAGGTAATCATTGGTTTTCCTGAAGAGCTGGGTAGCCAGCCTGCTAATAACAGGATCATGAGGATCTAACACTTCAAAACTGGAGCAGCTTGGTGACATATGTAAATCTGTAATTAAATATGATCTCAAATTGTACATTTTATAGAATTATAATTACATTGTTTTATTTCTTATTTATTTCGTTACTTTTTAAATATTGGGAATATAATCATTATTTTCATGAGCTTGTATAATATAAGCTGTTCCAAACTATCTGATGAATATATCCCAATATAATCAATATAACTATATATTAGCTTTTCCCCTTTAGACTACTTGTAATGGTAATCGTGACATCAAACCAGTCTCAATTTGAGCTATCCATTTAAGAAACTTTCTAGAATACTGTTTGTATATCTTTAATTCTATTTATTTAAACTTTAATGCACAAATACAATATATATAAATGTACATATAGCAAACTTAACACCTAAGAATGTTCTCTACATGTTAACCATAAGGCAAACTGAGAAATTAGTAAGAGGCACATCATTGCTTAATATTTAATTAATTTTACATATGTTGTTAATGTTTAACTCAAATACAATGAAATTTGTACAGTAACAGTAAGTAGTAATTACATTTAATTTTTTGGGGAAATTGCTGAGTATAATGTTTTATTTGAGCAAAGTACTTGTATAGTTTCGATTTCAATGTTTTTAAAGTCCAGCTAAAGCATTTTATCTCATTTGTTCCAAAATTCATGGAACAAAATGTGTTTATTGTAAAAACAAATGGATGTAACATTTGGTTTAGTATGTAAATGTCCCACACTTACATACTAAATGATATGTTACATCCATTGTATATTCATAATCAACGCTTTAATCCAGTTTTTAGATGCTTAGTATATTGCTCTGGAGTATTACACAGTATAATGTTAATTAAAATATAAGATGATATGTTATTATAAGAGACAATAGTATTATACAAAACATCTTGGATTCATATTTATTATCTACTCTGTGAAATTGTGTACCTAAAAACAATGTATATTTTTTAATGGTTGAAATGTTGTACCCGTCTGCTTATTTAAGATGAACATAAAGACAGGTCAGTTACCCCATCATGGTCCATCAATTCACTGGATCTGGGCAATGAGTGTAAATATGTAAGATGAATCAAAAAATAATTAGAGATTCTAAATACTAATTATGTAGATACAGAAAGTAAGAATAGTGTAAACGTATAAATATACATAACAAATGTGGAATCCTATATTATATTTAATTAACAACATAATTAAAAAACACAAAGAATCAAAATGAAAAAGAAATATAGACTGGAGTTCAACAATACCTTTACTTGGGCCATCTTTGGACCACTTTTCTATATCTTCCTCAGACATATTATACCTATATTTTAATTTGAATTACAAAGTCTAAAAAAAGCTAAGATAATACTTTATTGATAATTGTATAATTTCATAGTGATATAATTAATTTAAAATCTTTAGAGAAATAATATTATCTAATTTAATTTAATAGTAATAAAATTGAACTATGAATAATTTAAAATAATTTTCACAATAAACAACATTAAAATCAACATCAATTAATAATATATGTATATAAATAAAATTATGTACTGCTGAATATATATTTATACTTTATCTATGAATGATCGAATAGACTGACAAACAGTTTGATATAAGACTTATACTGATCCTAAGTTCCTGACACGTAGCTAACAGTTCTTGAAATTTGCTCAATTGTGTAGGATGATCAATAAAATAGTCATTATGAACATTAAAATAAAAATTAATAAATAAAAACTCAAAGTAACATGATATCAGATAGGATCTGAATAAAAAGGTTATGCAAAACGGCAATTGACATCTCTGAATTGAAAAATCTCTGTTACTCATAGTCTATTAGATGTTAATAGACTATGAGTAACATAGATTTTTCTTCAGACATCAATGTTTTTCATTTCATTCGTATTGCAATAATAGATATTTTTCTAACATTAATTGCCCTATATTTGGACTATTCTATTATCATGGAAATGTCAGTTTTGCTCAGCGCAACGTCAATCAGACATAGATAGAGCGAATGAATCTAATTTCCTACTCTTGAATACGCCAGCGTGGAAAGGATATGACAGTTTGATATATTCTTTATTACTCTGTGATAAGTAAACCTGCTAGCCTGTGACCATTGTATCATTTACATTTATTTTGTAATTTTTATTGTTCTCACCGTGTTCCGTGATTCGCTGTTCGTGCTTCCGTCGACAGGCGATATAGTAATTTAAATGACGATATTCAATATTAGTTAACATAAGAAAATTTGTTTATAATTCTTTGTTAAGTGTAAAAATGGATTTCTTAAAAGTGAAGTTTATCTCGAGGTCTTGTTTAGTCGCTTTCCTATTTGTGATTTGTTTGAACTTTAGAACTCATGGTGAGTAACATCCCACGTATTAAAAACGGTAAATTACAAATATTTTGTATTACTGAATACTTCTCAAGTATTTTAAATAATAGTGTATTTTTTGCGACTTTAATTGTTAATAATGATATACAAACCGTTGATGACAAGTCGTGCCATAGTTTATGAAAACAACGGTTAACTTTGGAAAAACACATTCTACACAAGTTTTTTGACTGTTGGGTTTTTTGGCTTGAAATAAGATCATTATTATATTATGACCATCTCCAAAAATTAATATAAAATTAATTTGGTATAATTGTGTAAACTAATGTTTATGCACATGTATTTATTATTGTATTATCTAAACAATAAAACGGAGACCTGGCATGAGGAAAATTATAGAAGTATTGAAAAGCTAGTCACTACTTACTATTAAAACTAATTTTTCAATTTAGACTCTTAAATTGTACTCAGTGAATATTCACATTAGTCATAATATTACCAGTATAACATATTTACTTGGTATGTATGTTTTAATCACACTTAATTTGTTGCAATAAGTTATGTGCAATTAGAATAATCAGTTATTATCTATTCTCCTGAGGAGCTGGCATTGGCAAAGACCTTTTGACTCCGGGCGCCTCCATATTACACAACAATTAACATATTAATTGGATATACATTTAAGTATCTTATACTTTGAAGTAAATTTATTATAAACATATATCATTACAGGCTAGGGTTAATATAACAGTACAACATAGGCATACAAAATTAATGTATTTTAATTATATTAATTTTGTATGCCTATGTTGTTTTGTGATTATCATTAAATACAGTTCTTACAGGCTATTCCTGATTTGGCTTATCTTCACAAATGTGAAGATAAGCCAAATCAGGAATAGCCTATTATGTATGGCTCTTAAATTATAATTATGAATAAATATTCATAATTATAATTTAAGAGCCATACTCTTCTCAGTGAATCTCTTGCCACATTCCGTAATCTTCCTTGAGTATTGGTATCATATTCACTATCTCTTGTAATATATACTTACTTTACTGTTTCTTAGTACTAAGACAGGATAATTAATACTGTCATTCCTATATAGAGGAACATTTGTTAATCCTTGTATAATAACTTCTAACAACTGCTTATTAATGTTATCTTCTGTGTTAAATGAGTCCATTTATAAACCAGCTATGGTTCAATGGTCATATGATTAACAAGTTCATTAAAAAACTTTGACTAATTTAATTAATTACTTCATAAAGAGACAGTTTGAATTATTCTATTATAGATCAACTCATATTCCAAGACACTGGGACTACAAATTTGATAGTTTGGATATATTTCATAGGTATGCATATCCTCTCCAGTAGATCCTGTTTGATTCAAAAGGGAATTAAAATTACAGCGATCTGTGCTAAGGTTCGATACCATCCATGTGGTGCCATCCATCCATCCATCCTTACTTTCATAGGTTTATAGTCTCCTCAAATGCTTTGCTCGTCCAACACCATTTTGTCTTCTTCTTCTTTCATGGAATAAGATATTTATTGGCGAAAATGACATTCACTATCTTGACTCCTTGAGTACACTATAAAGAAGGGTCACACAAAACAATAAATAACCCAGTATAAATCATTTAATGTTATTAGTACATAATAATTTAGATTGACCCTCACCAGAGCAACATAAGCTAAACATCAAGTAATCAACAGGAATGAGTCCAAGTACTGGAAAGTTACTGGGTAGCAATTCAGAAATTGGTAGTTAAAGCCTCGGCATCAAAAGTATGTGTTCCTCAGGAGTGCCACATTCCTAGATGGAGTTATTGCTTACTCTGATTTTAGATAGAAAACTAGTATATGTTTATGTCCCACACATAATTGGCAGATTACCATTGTGACCCATTTGTCATTTGTCTAGGTGTCAGTGAAAAACCATGGTTATGGAGGGATAGTGCATTGTGTGTCACTATAATATTTGCCTTAAGTTTTTTTGTCACAGAGATTTCCAGGCATTAAGCACCTTCATATTTGTTTACACTTTTGGATTGCTTATATGACCCACATGTCTTATTGCTAGTTATTTCTGAATGACTAGGAATCCAACCAAAAGTACTGAACTAATAAATTACTGCAGTGGCATTTTAAAGAAATGTGTGTTATCGATGTTAAATAAAAGTTATCTTTTGACTGAAATTGTAATTTTGATATATCTTGCTAAGGGAATCAGTCAATATCAGGGCTTTATTTATTTTATGCGGTTGAATAAAAGAGAGTGCTTCCAGGATAGTAACGCACTTTCTTGTGAATGTAGATGACCGTGCAAGACATTTGAAGTTAAGGACTGCATTAAACTTTAGGATCCAAACTACTTCTCCATTACAGTATTAGAGTAATTTAAAAAAAGGAATAAACTAAGGTAAACAAGTTATGAATTTACGACGACTACGAGGACGTCGCTACCTTTAACAATTACTTACACAATTAGAGAAATGAGAATGCTCGTAATAATTTGGTAATTTGTTGAGCAATCATCGCTTTCTGTTAATATAAAATTAATAAAAAAAAAATGTGGTATTAGTGTAAAAAGTATTTTTCTTTCAATAAAAAATATTGTTAAATTTGTGATAGGACCATTTTTACTGGTCAGTATAATTTGGAACCTAATTCGCGAGTAGAACTGTAAAAATAAATAGATTCATGAATCTAGTTATTTTTTATAGCATTGTATTAGAAACAAACGAGTTGCGCCATCCGACTGTTCGGCGTGTCTAACTGAAATATCTATTCTATTTGTCACGCCAAATAATGACTATAGTAATAACCATGTTCCCGTAACTCGTCCACGGTCTAATCTACAGCCGTAGATAGAAATATAAGACGTAAGTGCGGCAATGCTTTTGTATGGAAATTATCTTGTAATAATATACTTAATTAATAACTTATAATCATAAGTTTAACATTCCTCAGCCTATTTCTTGATGAAAAAACTCATATTCTCCTATATTAAAATTTCTGCTAAATTCATGTCCTAGGCCATAGGTTTCTCGAAGTTCCAAAATATTATACACAAAGTGTTTCAATCTTTGTGCTAGATGAGAAAACAGCATGTTAAGAAGAATTTGTTAGTATTTCATAGAAAAAAATCTCATCTTTAGGATTACAATCGTCTATACTATATAAAGAGATATTACATTTTTGTACGTATTTTTGTAATGGAAAACTCATGAAATACTTGACCGATTTAATTAAAATATAGGCTGTATTCCATGAGGACTGCGTCGCGTGATCCATTTACTTATTTAATAAAAACTGCGTTGATGAGAATTGTGAACATTATATTTAGTAATTAAATATGCACTAAAATATTTATAGATTCCTTACAAGCAATTAGATGCCATCATTATAATTAATTACAATGCATATCCTAAAGTAGCATTGGACATTGTTTACTTAATTTACCAAGAATTCAAAAACAGATTATATCTGTTATACCTACCTAGTTAGTTATGATAGCCTAACCGTTACCATCCTGTAGTGTCGAATTTTTGTTGTACGCGATAACCTTCTGCCTTCCTTTTGTCTCAGAATGTAGACTTTTTTATCGCATATGTTCCAAAGCTAAGTGATAATTTGACATTTTGGTGATATTGTGTGTACTAAATTCACCTTCTCGCAGAGGTTATGGCTATCTCTGCGATTTTTTAACCGTTGTTTTTTCTATTTTAACTAAGTCGCCAAATTGGCGGCGAATCTGACCTGCATATGTATGTAAATGTGTGTGTGAGCGTGTATGTACGAGTATACTTAAAATGTTTGCTTGTTAATTTTGTATGATCTTGATCACATCATTAGAGCTAAACTCATTAAAATATTTGTTCTCATATATTTTTTTTATTTCCTGCAATAATCGGTTGATGATAATTAAACAACAATAAAAATAAATAAAATTAAGACACCATTTATTTATACATGTATATAGTGTATTGAATATTATTCTCTGAAATAATAACTTTACTCCTTTATAGGTATTTAATTCTCCGCTTACTTTAGCTTCTTAACAATTTTATGTGAAAACTTATCACACAGAAAGTTTTCCCTTTAATATATGCAAAGAAAAATTAGATTATATATTAAAGACGTGTAACGTAAATATCATAAAGATCATATCGCACGCTGCAATCTCTAGTCTATGAGTGCCACTAAACAGGCAGTAATTTACCACTTTCCATCAGAAGTTGGTCGGTCATATACCGGTACCATATAATCACAAGGTAACATTATTTATCGCCTACTACAGATACAAATAACTCTGTAACCGCTATATGACTGGAATTCTGCTAAATAACTGTTTCCTGCGGTTCAATTAAAATAATCATACACGTATTCCAACACAAGTATGTGCAGTTTAATTCAACAATTGATTCGGCTGCACTACGCCTACACGTCCGTTTTATTTGTTCTCCCTCAATGCTGTAACTACACTCATCGGTATAATATAAATTTTTCCATTGAGAGGTATCAAATTATTAAAGCTAGCTATTGTCCAATCTTCTAGTTTTTAAGATGTAATAATCTATTTTCCATACATTTCGTATTGATTCTTCAGTTATTTAACCTTAAAAGGTGACACACACCTAATATTAATATGTAGAAAATAATAATATCAAATATCAAAGAGGCTGGTGTTTTTGTATATTTCGTATGTACGCTAGTACTTATATTTTCGGTACATGCCATGTATGATAAATTTATGCTTAGCAGTAGGTTCTCGCATACATACTAATTGTATGTTAACTATACAGAAGCCATCCGTAATCGTGTATCAAAAATATTCAAAATGTCGATACTGTAAAACTATTATTAATAATATGTAATTATATATAAATAACAAAATTGACGAGTAAATAAATATTAACGAAATAACTAGCAAAAGTAGAAATAAAACTGATTTAGTAATTGCTCTTTGTTTGTTAATTTAATCCATTTTAGATTTAAATTGTAAAATATGTACATCTACACTAGGCAGCGATAGAATCGCAAAGGAAACCAATATGGCCATGTAAGCCTAAATCCCTATTAACTTGTTTATCACTGATAAAAAGCTGAAACTATTTCATTTACAAATGACTAACAATGACTCAGTTATACGTTATATATTCACGTATTTATATTCACGTTTTGAATATTGGCATAACGAATATAGTATCTATTGAACGGCGTTATTTAGTTTTTCTACATCTATATACTCCGCAAGATATAAACCAAAAGGAAGTCAGCCCTCGAAATTAATGATTCACTAACTGTACAATTCGTCAGGTACAGTATTCAAGATGCGCTCACAAAACTGTACCCACTGTTATTGACATAAGAATTAAAATAGTGTGACTACATAGATTTATGAGGGTGTTGACCATGTGTGGTAATTGAAATAATCGACGTAAAAGCAATTAAGGCAATTAATGTTACTATTATATGTCAAGGGATTATTAAATGGTCGATAGGCATTGTGGACTATATAAAATGTTGCAGAATACAATAGAAGAATAGAATTCACAGATTTCATTAAAGGATATTTTTTTAGTTTATATCGATTGACCGGTTCTTAACAATTCTACAAATTGTAATTTGAATAATTATTTAGAATTTCCTCATAAACAATTTCATAATCGATCCTTTAAGTAAATAAGTAGTTGCAAAATGTATTAGTCAATGGCAGTGATTAAATTTCGTAAACAGCTATAAATAAACGGAAATCTGTAGTCACCTAAAATTTATTTACATTTTAGTATCTTCTATAAGACATAAAATATATTTTTGGAAATTATTGCAATTGTTAATAATGTCACTATGACATTGTCCTTTAACTTTCAGTACAACTTGATAACTAAATAAAATTTAAAACTACCTTAAAAGAATTGTGTAGAATTTTTGGCTCATGTATAATGCAAATATTCTAATGGTGTATCGTGCGTAACGATGCATTTTTACTCGCATAGGATTTAGTTTATATCCTTTCATCGTTCAAAACTACTACGTAATCGTTGAATAATTTCAATATTAATATATCTATAAGAATATTCATTTTGATAGTTTCACTTGCAAACTATCATATACTATAAGTATAATAGGTAATTAAAAATAAACACACACACAGACTTTTAGGCACAGTTAGCATCTGTCAAGTCATATAATGCTTACATTCCTACTGGTTGGTCTAACAATTTCAATGGGTCTCCAATATTAATATAATAACATCGGTTAACAAGATAATTACTTAATACAGTATTGTATTTAACGGATAACTAATTAAACGAACTCCCGCTTCTCCGCACCAGGGTGGGCAGATATAACAATTCGTCATGTTATTGTTTAAAGATATTTCAAAATTTCCGACTGATACAAGGAAATGGACGTAATTGTAGCAGCTATGGTTACTAAGAAACACTTACTTACGCTTACTTTGAAAGCAGTTGTTGATATTGTTGACATCATATGTGAATGTAATATGTATACATAGTTCAGAATGTGGCAAAGAACGACCACCACCATCTGCATAGTTTCTATGATTGATGATGACAATTCTGTCCATAAGTTTAATATATCTATCTATATGTATATGTCAACGAAGCGATTCTTTTACTAAGTACTTTAATATTAATACTCGGCATACAATGCTTTGTTTTTTATTAATAGTGCCTGTACATTTTTAATGACTACGTGTCAGAATAAATAGAAAAAAAAATTAGTAACGGTTTTAGCACTTTTTGTCAAATTGGAAGTAATTTCAAGCCGTATACAAAAATATGCCATATAAAACCAGTAAAATGCGATTAGAATATTATATTTTTTATAAAGATACACGTTCACGTTAAGATAGTTAGAGACTTAGCTAACTTACATCATGCCTACATCATGGTAATTACAAATGTGTCACTGCCATGCCCATGTGACAAAATTCTATTTTCTTAATATAATATTTTATAAAATATAAGTAGGTGCAATATCCAACTAGCCTGTGCTAAATATTTATATGTATATATTTGTTATATATCATAATATTAACAATTGAAGCATATACTTTGTACCCCTGTTTACCCGGACGGAAGAGTATGACATTGCGCACACTTATAGTTTATATAGGGAAGGGATAATAATCATTTAAAATACATTATATAAAATAAACATTACACTATGTATTTGACACACACATACAATAGAACCTTTATAATATTCAGGCTGAATTTAATTTTTAAGACAGAATTGAAATTAATTATGATCGATTATCGACCATTGGGTGACCAATAGTCATAACATAACAAATAGATGATAGACAATGTTTACATTATAATTTCTATAGTTTTATAAATAAATTTTTTAGTGTTCTAAACAAATATTTGAAATGTAATTATTAATTTCAGCTTGGAATACAGAATACAGGGTAGTCGGCGGCAATGGCTTTTCAGGCCAACTCAAGCCACACATTATGACCCTGGACCATAGTCGATACCGACGCGATGTCGTTCCCACTCATGACCCTGCAGCGGCGCAACCTACTGAGGCTGCAGGTGCTGTCACAGCCACTGCAGCTGCCAACTCAACTTCATCTGCTACATCAGCGGCACCAGCGGCAACAGTTCCATCGGTAGCGCCTCCAGCGGCCAATGTTACTGCCGCCAACAGCAAGATGAGCGACGGGACTCAAAGTAAGTTATATTTTTACATATTTGTTACTAGCTGTGCGCGCGGTTTTTATTTCGATCTAAAAAACAAACGCATGGTTTCGGTATAATAGTAGGCTGACATGTATGTGTGTGAAGTGATTGGAATAAAATAATAACTACTTACAACAACCATATTTTTTGTACAATAGTAAGGATTTTGTATGTATTACTACAATAAATTTCATAAAAATTGTTGAAGCATTTTCTAAATTTCTAGATATTAATTTAACAATTTTGTTCTTCGACAACATTACCGACATTGAACAATGGATATACAGATTACTACTTTATTGGCGAAAATCTTTTACTTTCATGAATACTGTTACTTCCTTTCGGTTTGGAAATAAATATTATAATCTGTATATTGTTCTACTCGTACGAAACGGGACGAACCGCTTGTTTGCAGGAAATAGGAAAAGTCGTTCCGAGCCTAAAAATATAACTTATGATGAAATCTCATTTATTTCGGCGATATGAGCTACAGTCTAGACATATATAAAGGTTATCAATCTACCTAGTCTGAAGTTCATCACCTTTTCTTTGTCCTCTTGTGTATTGTATGGGAATAGCGCACTACACATTTTCCGTTGATGTCTATCATATCGGCACAGACTCACTCCAGTTATAAGTCGAAGGTTAAATTGCGTAATCATAAAATAATATACTATAGGTTTCTGTAATTCGCGAACCAGTTCGGAAGTGCTCTCCCAAAGACGTAATACGCGAGCTAGTACTAAGATAGTTTTAGTTCGTTAGTTCTTTTTTAAAAATATACAAGTATACAATGGTACTATAGCATTTGACAAAAGAAAAACGCCTAGAGTTTTTTCACTTTCTCTGATTCTAGTAGAGAGCGAACGAACTAGTTTATTTGAGATCTACGAACTAAATAGATACCATCCCAGTAGCGAACTATCATGCGCAAGTCTACTATAACATGGTTTCTTTACTATAGATTTTTTTTTGTATCAAGGGAAATAAAGGAAAAAATAATATATAGTTACATAGGCCGTATGAGTATTATGGAATATCAATTATATTGTTATCAAAACAAACGAATTAGTAACTGGATTTATTTACTTGCAAATACCTACCTATCTTTGCATTAGGCTTTATTATGTTACCGTATATATCTATATGATCGCTATGATGTCGGTCATTCTATAAATTTATACATTTGAATACCAGTAAATTGTTTCACAATATAGTTGAAGGATAAATGTTCTGGATCACTTTTCATTTCTATCTTCCAACCATAATGTTTACTAGCAATTACTACTATTATTTCCCATTTCTACTGTTACAATGCCCCTTTTATGGTTCCCAATCCAATTCAAACGGGGATCGAAATTATGACGGCCTGAGCCGTGGTTTGAACAATAGCGGTACCCTCAGACTAAAGTCATATCCGTCAGGCGGGAGTTGACCTTCAACCGTTATATAAGTCCTTCTACAGGTTTGTCCGCTGAAGCTGTAAAGGCCAGCTGCGGCTAACGGCATTAGAGTAATTCGTAAAAAAAGAATACTGGTACAATTGCAAACTGTCACAATATAGATAATGTTATATAATATGATATTAAGCTATCGTCAACTTCGATATATCTTATATGACAGTGTACATAATAATAAACATGCATTATATTACATGCCGTTTTGCATATATATGTTATAATTACTGTGAGAACTAAATATTCCCGTGTTCACACCGATTTTGATATCACCTTCTCATGTAATATCAAGCCGCTGTACAAAATACATATCATCTTTTGTTGTGCACGACAGAAATCTGTTAGCTCAGGTGTCTTGTTTACCTACACACACACGTCATATACGTCGTTGGTTATAATTTTATATCATGGCATCTGCTTCAAGCATTTTTATTCGTAATAAAATCGAGTATATAATATCGGTTATAAAATATTCCAAGTTTCAGAGAATTGTATTTGTATTTGTTTCAATTCAATCGTAAGGCAGACACAGCAGTGAAATTATAGGGTACAGTGGTAGGTGACTCATGAAGACGTAATGTACGTAGTGCTATTCATGTAAATAGACTTGCTATTTAGGTATACAGCTTGTTCGATATACCATTCTACCATTTCTCGTTTGTCACAAAAAAAAAACATTGGTCTCAAAATAAGATTACTGCATAGACTTCTTAAAATAATTGACGTTACTAAAGTCGCATTTCCATCGAAATGCGTATCGCATATATGTCTTATTTACGACATTTATTTATATGCACATGCAAAATTATTGTATACATATGTGACCATATATTGTGCAAATGTACAAGTTGTGAACCATCCGTTGTAGTAGGAATAAACGCTGTAAATATTGTTATATTGGCACGCAATTTAACTGAAAACGTGAGAGTTCGTTCAACAATGTTATATAGGGTACGGTAAGAAGGAAACGGTATATAGAGTAAGTCATATATATAGGTACCAAGCTGAAAGTGAGTAATAATATTTATGATCCCGAACAACTTTAACGTAGTAGCAAAGTGAAATATTAAAAATAACTTTTAATAAACTTTATACATACAACTTTGTCACGTGATCAATTGAGTATAAATTTGTTTTCTAACTTCCACTTTTTTGCGACAGTGGTTCCAGTATCATAAACATTCTACCTAGCTTTCAGTTTTTAGAACTAAACCTTGCATATAGAATTTGTTAATTGTAAAATTTTGTTAAATGATTAATTATAATATTAATTATATACCCAGCATCAATGTTAATTGTTGGTCCCAAAATGGGGACATTTTCCCTGTAAAGTATATTCATTCTACACCTATTCTGAAACGCGGTTAATAGAGCCTCCTGTCAAGGGAATATATATACTTAAAAGGAGGTTTCACAACTATATAGATTTAAGTTAATGTTTCTTTTCATAATCACTCTAGTATTCAGTGTTAACATTGCCAAAATTGAAGCAACTTCTTCAAGATGTAAATCATAAATTTCTAGGATGTTCCATTTAATATTCTGTTTACTATTGTGTTCGGAAATTAATGCGTAATATTAAATGGTTCTAGTTATAAAATATATTTATGCTTGAAGTCTAATAAAGAGTCTGAGCTATATCAAGCTGGCAATGAGCCAATATGAGAGCGAAATCAGGAAATCCTGACTTGAATTGTACCGACTAATACCTGAAAAAATATTTACCTTTAATTCTTCCGCGAAAGTTATCGTCATTTCTCTAAAAAAAACTGTTTATGCTGGCTATATAGACGTATACTACTACCACAGCAATAAATGAACCGTCCACTCGATGGACCTTCCAGTTACATCTAAAATTCTGTTGCACGACCTTCTTTTTCTACTTAATGTCATGCCGCGGTTATTGCCCTCACAGAAATATTTAGTTGTCTCCGTGGCAATTTTTGAGAAATATTTTCTCAATTGAATGATAGAGGGCATACACATATGTATGTATATTATTCCCCACAGCTGCGAAGAAAATTTATAAATATTACATATAGAACTACTGGTGGTGCTTTTTTCAACTACCATGTATTTTTATTTCGCTATTTGAACAAATTGATTTTGTTGATCTTTTATACAATGTCTTTTTCGTAAACATATAATTATGAACAATATACGTGACAGTAACAGTGATAAATAAAGTAAATAAACTACTTGTCCTATCTTGATTAGAACGGTACATTAATAACATCTATTGTTTAACGCCCTTACTTATTTACTTTTACGTTGATACAACCAGATCGCGCCATGAATCTGAGCGCAATTGATTTTATTCTTAATGCTAAATGTCGAATATTGAGAGCGAAAAAAATGTCACCACGAAATTGTGCTAAATAACTAAATTAATTAATTAATCCTTTATTAATTTTAGTTTTAATATAATTTTTTTTAATTTAATATATTGTTCCTACCGTCCTATAATAATCTCAAATCTAAACTATCAAATTATAACACCCCATCATGGAAGTTTTTGGCTATCTACGTCGGTACTCATTCGTTGTGATGTTTTTAATAAATTTTACACATCTTGTTTTTTTTAATCCATTAGTATATGTCATTTTTGTAGATTTAATTATGTCGCAACATGTACCCTAACCTCCTGTATTAATACTCATCAAATAAACATTTACTTCAGTGCCTTTTTATGGACATAATTAATGTTCTACGTCATTTACTGCCAGTGTCAGATTGTTTTACATACAAACCACGTACAGCCTCGAGATGCTTACGGACTGCGGCCTTTAGGTACCGCGCACACTTGAAACACTATTACCGATAACGCACTCCATTATAGGAAAACGTGGCCAGTGTGCCCCATAAAGGCGACTGAACGTTGTGGCTAGTTACTACTTAGTATGTATAAATTCAAAGTTTTGATAGTTTGTATGTATGCTACGGACTTCATGATATGTTTGACTTTTTATAAAATTCAATAAAAAATTTACACAATTTAATTTTTTCTACTCATGTTTTACGAACATTGATTTGCTCTAATAATTGGATTCGAATTTATGCTATCAGGTTTATTAGCAGATTACCATCACTGAATATCATCTGCTTCTTCCTTATCCCATTTATTTGGGGTGAACATGTGGTTCCGAAATTATTCTTCCTTACATATGAGTCATTCTCACATACTGCGCTGATCCCAAATAATGGGATAAAGGCAATGATGACATATGAGTCATCTCAGAATTGTTGGAGTTCAAGTATTAATACTTGAACAGATTAATTATTATAATGTGGAAAATTAATATTATTTGTATGTCGACCCACAACTTTTTTTTAGTTAAATAATGACTACATGCACTAATTGCTTTTAAATGTCATGGTTCAAATGAAATCCCAAAGATATATGTTTCCAAAAACAATACACATGTGAGTCTATGATCAAAATTAAATAAATTATTTGTCAATTTTATATTTACTGTGTCCATCTCTTTGTTATAAAACATACTGCAGTGTTTATGTTTGCGCACTACCTAAAAG